TCTGATTGTGGGATACACAATGGAGGATGTCCTTTCCCAAATGACCAAACCCCACCCCCAAAAGTCACCAGGTTTAAAACTAAATCTCCAACTCATCAGAAGTATCATGCTCAAATCCTTGTGATGTCTCCTAGGTTACATAGCTAAAGCTTTCATGCTATTTAATTTAAGTCACTTATACATACAATGCTTCAGTATACCAGGCTAGTTGAAACCAAATAAGACAGTAGGCAAGGAAGCTAGATAGCTCACATTCTCAAACAAATGTTTTGTAAATATCTTTATTCTATATTACCGAGAAATTATCTTATAAAATGAAACTTTAACAACATTCTAGGTAATTGTAATTCAGTACCTCAAAGTGGCTAAGACATCCATCCTCAAGCACAATGGCCTCATCAAGAATTTGCTTAATCCTATGGAACAGACAATTTAATGCCTTTGATGACACTGGCTCTCCTAATCTCCCCAATGACATACGTTCCCTGATACTTAGTACATGAGGGCTGCTTAAAAAACCCAAGAAAATATCAAAACAAGAATAAGGAAAGATTGCCATTCCTACGTCTACATAAACAAATGTATATAATCCATACCTTGTATAACAGCCAACATGGTAACCTTCTGCCCGTAAAATATTGGAGAGATAAGAAGCAGTAGATCCTTTCCCCTTTGTCCCAGCAATGTGAACAACCTGCGTTTTAACTTAATTTGGCTCACTACTTGAAAAGAAAACAATGAATGACACTAAAACAACCCACAACTCATCTCCCTTTCAGCATTCTCTTTTCTTGATGCATTTTTGCAGTAATCAAACAGAAGTACAGAACTATACAATAAAAGAAAAGATGAAGAGGATCAAAAAGGACAGACCTTGAACTTGGATTGAGGATTACCAAGGCAGTCCATAAGCCGTCTCATGCGACCCAGATCAAAACCATCATCAGAGTCTGTGCCCGCACCCTTAGGCACACCCATCTTTTCATAGTTCTTAAGGGCATCAATATATTCAATGAAGTCATTAAGCTCTGTGTCCTCTCTGTATGTGGAGAACCATCGTTTGTGTCCTAATTCAGTCAAAGCTCCTCTATTTATGGAACAAAGCACAGGTCTTCCATGAGTAAAAGTGGAGTATTGACTGAAAAAGTTTAGAACTTTCATTTTCTCCCTCTAGAATCTTCTCCTCCAATTTCTATGAAGCTTTCAAATTTTACCAACCTTCATCCTCTTCCCTTTATCACGACTATGAAGAGCAGATCTGTCATCTAAAGTTTGGTTGATTTGGAACTTTAGCAGCAGGTCACATCAAGTTGATATTCCTCCAAGGTTTATGCAGCAAAAGCCTACATTTACTCCCAACTCATGAGCACAATTGGCGTGCAAGATTGGATTGGATTGGATAGAATTAATAAGATAAAATTGAATTGGATTGACTTGGATAAGATAATAAAAGTCCAATCCCATGTTTGGTATTTCATTGGATTTGATATTAAATTTTATCCCATACTTAGTTTGGCAATGAGCAAGATTACATAGGATAACCTATAATTTATATATATGAACAAAAATGCCCTCAATTCAAAATTAAAAAATTTTTTCAAAGTCATTGGAATTTGTCAACATGGAAAATATTTGAAAATTTTCAATAATCACTAAAATTTGTAAACTTGAAAAAAAAAGTCTATAAACTTAAAAAATATGTTGATTTATCGAAATAATTTACTAAAATGTCTACCAAAAATACTTTATTTATATAAGGGAAAAGGGAAAATCAAGATATCTTGGCATTAAAAATGCTAGGATGTCTAATAATAGCCACATGATGAATTTGATAAAGTTAGGGCCCACACCATACCCCACATATTTAATAGTTGTGATTGGACGTCCTAACATTTTTAATACCACAACGTCCTGATTTTCCCTTTTCTCTTTATATAATATAAAAAGAACAATCCAAAGTCAAATTTATCAAAAAAAATTCATTAAAAAAATTACCATATTTGAATCTTGAAGAATAAAATTGAAAAAAAAAATAAAAATAAGAAGTTAATGGTGAAATTGACATGCTAAGGTCACCAAAATAATTAATATAAAAGCATCAAAGCAAAAGATCTTTTTCTATTTTCATGATATCCATTCACATAAAAACACAAAGTACTAACACTTAATGTAAATAGATAAAGATAGTACTTTTGCCTACAGTAGCAAGAAATTACAACTAAAACTTTGTCAATTCTAATGTTCAAAGCCAACCCAAAGAGTTTGTTTTTCCTACATAATGGAAATGCAAAGTGTTAACTTAAAAATGCAACTGAATCAAACTTGACTAACCAAAATTAAACCATTCCTCAAAGAATTAAAATAAAAACTCCGACATTTCAATTTCAGATATCAAATCTAATGACAAGAAGATTAGGAAAAAATGAAAAGATTTTTGTATTGTATAACTAGAACATGTTAAAAGTACACAGGAAATGGCTTACTGTAACTATGAGTTTTAACCTTTCCTACACCCAACTCCTGCAGTGGTTGAAACTAGAAATGAATCAACATCCCAAGTAAATTTTAGTAAACAAGTAAAGATTTCAAGCTAGGTTACCGCATGGATCAAATCAAGGAGGAATTTTCTTGGTGGCAAAGAACAAGCAACAAACAGTATAATTTAGCTTGAAAATCAGCAAAGCATAGCTAGAAACTGATCTGAAACAGCAATGATATTTTGCCCAAGGACATAAGCCAAACTGTGACAAGAACAGAATTTTGTAGTTAATTTCAAAAGGTAACAAGGCTGCTATTTTTCTCAAGTCTTGCATCAATAAATCACAATGTAATTCATCACATTTTGAGTCCAAGAGAGGACTTCAAGCTGCCGTAACTTCTTACCAGAATTTAGTGTGCAGATACACTCTAAATCCCAACTTGTAGGTGGCGGGCAAGGAGAGGAATTGGTGAAGCAGCTGCAACTGATTTTAGCACCCAGTTTTAGCCTTATTCACCAGAAAATAGCAGAATAAAAGAGCAAAACACTGGTCAGATTCTAAACAGGAAGATTAGAACAGAACTTTCTCCTGGAAGACAGCAGAACTGGTTTGAATGCTTAACAGGAAAATTAAAGTTCTATCTCTTAGCTTTCTATAAAATCAAGAATGGCTTTAATCCAACATCTACAGAAGAAGTTATGGACAGAACAGAATACTACTCCAACGTCAGGCTGCCAGAATTTGAATCAATTTACATACACATTGAGCTGGAAATTTTCAGGAATTAAGGTAGTTCCAAACCAAAGTTTAGTATAAATTCTATGACAATTCAAGGCGAAAACAAAGGAAAAATCAGCCTTAAACACACCTAAAACAAGGCAGAAATTAGCTCAAAAACAGCAACTTCCCTGAGGATAAAATTTGGGCGAACCCCCAGGTAAAAAGTGCAGAATTTTTAATGCACAAACAACAGCCCAAAAACAAGTGCAGAATGCAATACAAGGGCAGAGAATTTTTAATTTGCTTGTTTTTAGTTTTGCAAACATTGCCCTTTCTAATTTACAATCAGACAAGCAATCCATGTTATTATCCAAAAGGCATCAAACTTAAAAATTGCTAGAGATTTTGAGATAAATTCATGCATGAGAATAAGCTTATCATACTGCACTCCCCCTCCAAATCTTAAAAGATATTTTCATCAGAAACCTGAATCGAAAATTGAAAACATAACAACTAGCTTCATTAAGAAACATCACCCATTGAACTGATAAAAAAAAAAAGAAAGATCACCCATAGAAATTGGTTGGAAATACTAATTAAGGATTTTCCACAAATCGACATATCCAATAAACAACCAAAATGTAAATCGGTACTTGAATGTATGAGAAAAACAAAGACGAAGGTTAGAGGCTTACGGGAATGAAAAAGGAGGCAAGTAACTCGGCGCCGGATGAAGAACAGACAATCAACTGGTGGAACCTCGATGCCTACCACCGGCTACGGTGATGGTGACGGCGACGGTGACGGCGACTGAAATGGAGGAGAGCGAGGAGTTGGGAGCGGTCGCGATGAGAGGGTAAGTTCGAGATTTTTATTTTTGATTCTGAAAAAATTACATCCGTCCCTGGTAATCCCATGGGGAGGATGGGATTCATTTCATTCCATTAGGTTAGGATTGGATAAAGAAGAGGATACACTTTGTCCATTCCCATGACACCACCAAACGTTGGTTACAGTAGGTCATGACTAATTTTAGTCCCTATCCCATGAGTAAGCCAGGCTTCCAAACGTGCTCATACAGTTCGTCGCTTTAGCCCCTCACCTTTCTGGTTGAAAGTTGTTTACAAATTGTTTGGGGCCTTTGGGCATATGACTTGGAGTTTTGAATGGAAGTCTTGTCTGAAGGAATTTATTATAGAAATCTTATTTTTAAAAAGTAAAAAAGAGTTTGATAAAACTTTTTGTTAAAGAATTTCAAAGCCTAAAGTCATTAGGTAAATTTATTTATAATTTTTTTTTTAATTTTGAAATAATTAAAAATGATATTTTCTTTAAAGTAGCATTGCTACTCTTTTTTTTTTCATATTTATGGAGTTTTAATTCTTTTCTAATTTAATTATGTTAAAATTAATAATTAAAAATGAAATTTTTATATTTGTAAAATATAAATATTAATAATTAATAATTTTAATATTAATAACTAAATATTTATATTTTAATATTAAAAAAATATTATATTTAAGTTTTAAAAATAAAAAAATTAAAATTAAAATTAACGATAACAATCATTTTAACTAATTTTTCATTAAAAATAAAATAATGAAATCTTTCAATAAAATCATATCATAATCCTCTATTATATAAGTTAAATTATTTTAAAAAATTCCTCCATTGTACAATCTTTCTTAAAAACAACTTCCGTTGATTTGTTTTAGAAAACCTCATTTTTTTCCCTTTTCATAACAGAACTACATAGTAAGACTTGACACTTCTCATGAGTAGTATCCTTTTAACCTTTTTCTATAATGAAGCTTAACACCCACTAAGATGCATGTCTTGACTTACTATTCTAATAGAAAGCTTTTAAAACAGCCTGCCATTATGGTGATGATAACAAAATTTAGTACCATGTCAATTGGATGGAAACAACCAGGGAAAAAAAAATGGGTGACATTCTCTGCTATCAATTTTTTATGCCTTTTTTTTTCTTTCGGGTTGTACTAGACAAGGATATGCTCTTTACATTGTCTCTTTTCTATTTCTTAGAGATGTATACATCCCATCTGCTACAAAAAGAATCACCACATTATTTTAATATGTATGTTTTAAATTTAAAATCACCTCATAATTTTTAAAAAATATTATGAGAAAACATAAATTCATAACATTGCTTCACATTCTACATAAAAATCGCAATTCTACATATCAAATACTAACACCACATATATTTTAATACTAAAAATTAAAAACCAAAAACTTAAATTCTGTAAACTAAAAATTAAAACCGCAACATTTATACTAGTTTTGAATCTCAAATCCTAAATAACATATCAATACTAAAAACTCAAGATCATACATAACAACATAACTTAATATCTCATATGCCTTTCACCACCGTTTCTTCCTCCCAAACTCTAGGTTAAACTTTTCTCTCTCCAACTCTTGTTTTAACCAAGCAACTTTAGAGTTGACTGATTTTATGCTATTAAACATTGCTCTATATTCTTGTTTCATAAACAAACGAGTACCTAACATATATAACTCATTACCGTCTTCAACTCCAGGCAAAGTCAACAAAACATCCATGCATTTTGCAATGCTATGATTCTTCTTTGATGATTCAATTAAACTAGTTGAGATATAACTTTCAACTGCATCACAAAGACGATCCAATTGTCTTTGCATGCATGCTGCACCCCCAGATTTCACTTTCTTTCCTTTACCTTTAATTGAACTACCCATTGTACTTTTCCTTTTTTCATTGCTTCTTTGGGTTTGTGCAGCCATGATGTTCACCTCATCAGAATCACCATATCCTTCATTTAAATCAAAAGCATCTTCAACCCTTACTTCACCTAGATCTTGTTCTGAAACAATAGCACCAGCAGCTGGCGTCCATGCAGTTTCACCAGTGACCACCATTTTTGCAAACATTATCTTCAACTTTGCCGAATTTTCTAATTCATTATGCTCAAACTTGGCATATTCCCTATTTTCCTACAATAATTAATATCATATAAGATATAATAAATTATGAATTTAAAGTTAAAATTAACATATTAACATTTAAAAACTTAATATCAACATATCATTAATAATAACAAAATAGTACTAATTGCTTTCAATGCAGCTCAACGTTGAGGAATAGCACCAACAGTACCCTTTTCATGATTCCACCATAATCTTGTTTCTTGCTTTAAAAGTTGATTCCACAAAACCCAATCACTTTTTAATGCATCTCACCTATTTTTCAATTGTTTATAAACATAATTTTTATTTGCTCTTTCATTAAATTTTTCTTCTACATTTCTCCACCCTATTTTATTAACACTATTAGTAGGACAAATATTGATACTATGAGTTTTAACATTTCCTAAACCCAACTACTGCAGTGGTTGAAACTAGAAATGAATCAACATCCCAAGTAAATTTTAGTAAACAAGTAAAGATTTCAAGCTAGGTTACTGTATGGATCAAATCAAGGAGGAATTTTCTTGGTGGCAAAGAATGGGCAAGAAACAGTATAATTTAGCTTGAAAATCAGCAAAGTATAGCTAGAAACTGATCTGAAACAGCAATGATATTTTGCCCAAGGACCTAAGCCAAACTGTGACAAGAACAGAATTTTGCAGTTAATTTCAAAAGGTAACAAAGCTGCTATTTTTCTCAAGTCTTGCATCAATAAATCACAATTTAATTCATCACATTTTGAGTCCAAGAGAGGACTTCAAGCTGCTGTAACTTCTTACCAGAATTTAATGTGCAGATACACTCTAAATCCCAACTTGTAGGTGGCAGGCAAGGAGAGGAATTGGTGAAGCAGCTGCAACTGATTTTAGCACCCAATTTTAGCCTTATTCACCAGAAAATAGCAGAGCATCTGACAGCTAAAGTTGCAACTCAAATGCACTGGAACTTAGCCTAAAACAAACCAGAAAATAGCAGAATAAAAGGGCAAAACACTGGTCAGATTCCAAACACGAAGATTACAACAGAACTTTCTCCTTGAAGACAGCAGAACTGCTTTGCATGCTTAACAGGAAAATTAAAACTCTATCTCTTAGCTTTCTATAAAATCAATAATGGCTTTAACCTGACATCTACAGAAGAAGTTATGGACAGAATACTACTCCAAGGTCAGACTGCCAGATATTGAATCAATTTATATACAGATTGAGCTGGAATTTTTCAGGAATTAAGGTAGTTCCAAACCAAAGTTTAGTATAAATTCTATGACAATTTAAGGCCAAAACAAAGGAAAAATCAGCCTTAAACACACCTAAAACAAGACAGAAATTAGCTGAAAAACAGCAACTTCCATGAGGATAAAATTTGGGCAAACCCCAAGGTAAAAAGTGCAGAATTTTTAATGCACAAACAGTAGCCCAAAAACAAGTGCAGAATGCAATACAAGGGCAGAGAATTTTCAATTTGATTTTTTTTAGTTTTGCAAACATTGCACTTTCTAATTTGCAATCAGAAAAGCAATCCATGTTATTATCCAAAAGGCATCAAACTTAAAAATTGCTAGAGATCTTAAGAAGAAATTCATGCATGAGTATAAGCTTATCATACTGCACTCCCCCCTCCAAATCTTAAAAGGGAATTTTCAGCATAAACCTGAATCGAAAATTGAAAACATAACAACTAACTTCATATTAAGAGACATCACCCATGGAACTGCTAAAAAAAGGAAACATCACCCATAGAAATTGTTCGGAGATACGAATGAAGGATTTTCCACAAATCTACATACCCAATCAACAACCAAAATGTAAATGGCTACTTGAATGGATGAGCAAAAACAAAGACGAAGGTTAGAGGCTTACGAGAATGAAAAAGGAGGCAAGAAACTCGGCGCCGGATGAAGGACAGACAATCAACGCGGTTGAACTCGATGCCTACCACCGGCTACGGTGATGGTGACGGCGACGGTGACGGCGACTGAAATGGAGGAGAGCGAGGGGCTGGGAGCTGTCACGATGAGAGGGTAAGTTCGAGATTTTATTTTTGAATTTGGAAAATTTAGGGTTTGTTTGG